TTATACGTTTAGAAGTCAGTAATGATGCTTGAAATTGTTGTTTGGAAAAGGAAACTTGTAAATTGCACTGCTTGATTAAGTAAAATTATGATATAAATAATATCTTGAACTAAGAATTTAAATATCAGTTTGTAAGCGGTAACCAGTTGAACTAGTACTGTACCAGTATACCATATAGTATACTTGCTGGTTGTGCCTGTTATTTATCAAAAATGCAATAAAAAATACCTTGATACTGACCAATATGGTTCAGCTCCAATCCTTGGTTGGATCTGTAAATATGTTATTTTGAAATATCTTTCGTGAGTCTGCTTGTGCTCATGGGTCTGGATCAAGGGTTGCTTTTGTATGTGCTTGTGCGCACATGGTGCATGTTCATGCATGTGCTTATGCATGTGTGTGGGTCCAGTTAATTGTTGTTTGCTCTACGGAAATTAGTTTTTATTTTTGTTGCTACTGTTCAAAGGCAACATCTGCATGCACGAATGCAGATCCAGTTTACTTTAATGCCCTATGTGAGTATTTTCTGACTCATCAAAGCCTCTTAAACTGCTCCCGTATATATTTCATACTTATTATTGATGTGAGTCGGCAATTTGTAACAATTTCTTTTTATTGCTTTTGATTTGCAGAAACGATACAAACAAATGTGAAAATTATCAAAACAAATGCTTGTCCAAGCCAAAGTCTTTTAAGGTGCCTAATACTGAGAATGTCATTGAGGATGGAAGGAAGTCTTCTTCCAAATACCGCACTATTGTGCTAAATAAAATTTGTGAAGAATTGCAAACAGATATGTATACAGATAGTGGGTTGCCTTCTGTCAGTGGTGATGCTCTAAAAGGTTTTGCTGGGAAAGTCTCGAACAACCAAAACTTTCTGATTGATGATGCGTCATATCAGTCTGGTAGTGATGAAGAGGTTAACGATGACCATGATTCCACAGAGGAGATGACAGAAATGTCTTATGTACTTACACATGATGAAGACACTTCTGATTATGGAACTGCATACAAGGCATTTGGAGAAGGTAAGGAGGGAAGGGCGGCTTGTCAAGCTATTGCAGCTCTTTGTGATGTCTGCTCAATTGATTCGTTGATATCAAACTTCATTCTTCCCTTGCAGGTAAGTTGATTCTGTGTAACATATATATTATCCTTGTGGAAAAAAAAAAACTACATACAAATTGAAGGGAAGTTAGGTGTACATTGGAATCAATGAGCCTAATAATTCACTTTTTCATTCCATGCATCTAAGGCATATTTATTTACTTACAAATATTTTAGCATATACTGTCTCTTTACTATGTTCATTATCTGTTTTTATTTTACTGGAGAAACAAAATTGTTCTTCCTATCCAGTGGATGTATTATTTTGAAGAGATTTTGGTGTTGGTTTAGATTTTGATTTCCCCTTGTGTGTTACTTTCTTGTGCTGGTAGGGGAATGATATTTCATGTGTTAATGGACGAGTTCATTGTTCTCTAAACATCAACACTGAAACTGGACGCTTATCAGCTAGGAGACCAAATTTGCAGGTTTCTCTACTCTCTCTCTCTCTCTCTCTCTCTCTCCACGAACCCGCACATGCATGCAAGCATGCACATATACACACTCAGTATCTGCCTTCTCCCTCTGCTATTTCTGTTATATGTTCCCATGAGAAGTGGAATGTGATAATAGTTTTGAGAGTTATGCTTTGTGTTTGTATTTGAAAATGCCATTGAATTTTGTCTTATGGTAACTTGACGTTTATCTTAACTTTATTTACCAGTTGAGATTGAAAATTTTGGAAATTTTTAGGTAACATTAATTGACATTGTAAATTGGTCATGCTTCCTGAATAATTACAATTGTTTAAATCCCTAAAATACATATGCTGCTATAAATGACATATGATGAAATATCTAGGGTCATACATATCTTGTTGACACTAAGATATTTAAGATCATATATTTAAAGCTGCATACATTGACCCTCTCCGAATCCCGCATTGGCGGGGGCTTTGTGCATCAGATGGATCATTTTCTTAATCTAAGATCATATGTAATATGCAATTTATATTAAACTTTAAATGATTAATCAGTTATTACATTTTCAAAAAAACCGACTGGACCGATATATGCATCAATTCGTATTTACCTGTCTGACCAAGAACCAGTATTTGGATCGGCAATTTTCCCTGGGTTAGTTCAAAAATTTTTTCTTCTAATATTTCTAGCCTGTTGAAGATAGCCAAAAGAGTTGTTGATGGCAGACCTACCCACACATCTTCTCTCTTATCGTGGATCTACATCCTCGTTGATCCAAAATAGATTTGCATGGATGTAGTTCAGATTTTCATTGATTTAGCCTAGATCTGCGTGACTATTTTTTTTGGCTGATCTAGGCTAGATCCACTAGGTTCGAGCCTTAATCCTTGTGGATCTAGCCCCAAATCCAATCCTAAAGTCCTTGCAACAAAATATAAAGTGATCAAAAATTGAAATTAAGGTTTGGATTTACCAAATTTTGGAGAAAACCTGGTTTCGAACTCAAGATTTAGCCTATAATTTCTTGAGATTGAACTTCTCTTTGCAAAATCACTTGGGAGAGGATTCGAGTGAAATTCAAATGACATTGAGAGGAGTGAAGAGGTATAAAAGGGGGAAGGAAGGAGGGGATGATGGGGATACAGAGACAAACTGGTAATTGGGCAGTCAGGTTGCTGCCTGATATACCATATCCAATTGAAAACCAAGCGGTAACTGAGTGGTAACTGGTAAGCCTCAGTTTGAACTGGTGATACCTCATGGTGTACCACCATTAGTCCGAACATGGCTGCAAGGTAGGGGGGCTGCCCCATGTACCAGATTTAGGATGAAGTATGTACCTATCCGAGCGACATTTCAAAACATTGTATGATATTATCTAAGAAATATCCTATTAACATCATAACTTTCACATATCTAATGCAAATTGGTTTGGCACTTTGTTGTAGACTTATATCTATGTTTTGTATGCTATTGCATGCACACATATGCAGTTTACACTTGTAGGTAGTCGTTTGACTGGGCTATGAGATTGGCATTCATACGTGTCAAATGCTAGTGTACATCAGTATGTCGGGATCTCATGGGACAACATTGTTTTGATGGTTGATCACTTTTGGTACTACATTATCACTGCTTTGATTTTGTTTTGATCTTTATGCAATGTTTAAACTTTAAAGCAATGTTTTTTTAGTGTTAATAGGGTTGTTTCTTGTGTTGTCTTTCTAACCAGAACCAACCTGCTCTCGAGAAAGACAGATACAAAATCCGGCAGGCTTTTGTTGCTGGACCTGGAAAATCTCTTATTGTTGCTGATTATGGACAGGTGAGGAAACAAATTGCTTGTTTGTAATTATTTTTGTAGTCCTGGTTTAGGAACAAGTATATAATGTTTTTAATTTTTTGTTAATGCTGAATTTGGACATTAATAGCTGGAGCTTAGGATTTTAGCACATCTTGCGAACTGTACAAGCATGTTGGAATTCTTCAGAGCTGGTGTGGATTTCCATTCCAGAACAGCTATGAACATGTTTGCACATGTGCGTGAGGCTGTTGAAAAGAAGAGAGTGCTCCTGGAGTGGCATCCTCAACCAGGAGAAGACAAGCCTCCAGTTCCATTGTTGAAGGTAAGCATGCTTTTAACACTTCTATGCTATTACGTTCTGGAACTTTGTGGAATCATTGTATAGATAGCTAATTGTTGAGATGTACAAATTTGTTGTATGTTATCTTCTTTTAGTTAGACAACTACAAGATCACAATAAGAAAGTCACTTATTTAACTTAGTATATTTTGGTTTTGATTGTTCTAATTATTGCAATGTAATTGTAGATGCTAATCAGGTTTTGTGTTTAGTGAAATATGCTACTATAGTCATGATACAGTCATTGTAAATGGCTGGCTGCAACATTGGGATGTTCCGACGTGGGTGGGTTGCCAGCAAGTATGAGCCACTGCAGTTTACTTTTGTATTGTCCAAAATGAATATCCTACTATGTTTCAGACTCATCTCTTAAGCACCAAAATGTGATGGCTTTGCAGAATACTTTGTTTATGTAGTCAAAATTCTGAATTTTGATTGGTTTTCACCACGAACTTTCATCTATGAGACTTTGGCTTTTATCTAGCAATACTATGCTAAATATCTTTCCGGCCTGCCTCACCTCCTTGTCAAACTTTTGAAGTGAATCCTGTTTTCAATCAAGTCTCATAAATAGTCATGCTTGGCCTGTTTCTTTTGTCTTGCCTTTCCCCCTAAGAATGTTGTGAATTATTTAATCCTGATGTCCTGATTTGTTTGTTTATTATTATAATTTTCTTTGAATTTTGGTTTTGTGCTTCACTTAAATTTGAAAACAGAAGTTCAACTTTCCTCCAGAATTTGCACAATCTCTATTCCTACAAGTCTGGCAGTTAAATGTATTTCGTTTATTCTGCCTGCAGGATGCTTTTGGTTCTGAAAGAAGGAAGGCTAAGATGCTTAATTTTTCTATTGCTTATGGCAAAACTCCTGTAGGTCTCTCTCATGATTGGAAGGTAATTACCATAATAACCTTTAAATATGGCCTTTGTTACATATATAGTACTTATTGATGCTTTTAAACCTTCTTATTCGATGGCACAAGTGATTAGATGCCAATCTCCATTGTTTACTTTTTACTAGATTCTGGTACTGATTATCTTATGCATTATAAATATGCATGCATCATTATATCTGATATGCCTTGGCAATGTTGAGGCATAATCAATTAGTTACGTTATTTGACAAAAGAGACATGCAAATACGATATTGCATTGGTAATAATTAGTTAAGAAGACAGAGGAAACTGATTGCCTGCAACCTAATGGATGTGTCCGGCATGACAGTAGTATGAAGAGCCAAGATCAATCCCAATGCTTTTCACTTCACTTCATTGACTTCAAGATACCCTCACTTGTTAATCCATATGGCTCTCTTCTACAAACATGGGTCCAGAATTCACATATAGCAAGCAACTCATTGTTTCATCTCCCTTCTTACTACGCTGAATCCTTTCCGTTACATAGGACAGTTGCTTGCTAGCTCATGTGAAGCTGATCCAGCTTGTGTTTTTTGCTATATGACTAGTAGCTATGCAAAATAATGGGACCTAATGGACTTGACACCCATGACTATAGGCAGTCTTTCATGGGATGACCACAGGGAGGACTTGAAAACACATTAGACCGTTATTTCCTATAGTTGACATGCTAAAGAATCAAATTTCAACTTCTGGCCATTGAAGTACTTAATCCAACAATTCTTACAGAAACCTATTTTCTTGTACAGGCCATATTTTTGGATGGCATGAGATTACTCTTGCACATTATAGCTTTGAATTGAAGTGTTTAACATTATCTACCTTGAAATATGAGAATTTTGTGATCAGAAGGTAAATTTTAGACCTACCTTAAAACTGAGGTTGTAGTCATTACAGCACACTTGTTATAACTCGATTTGTCACTAATGACTTCTTAAATCAGAATTAGAAGCAATAAGATAAGGTCCTTCATGGTAGTCGGTTCCAAAAGTGGAAATGCAAATTCCGTGACCTGTATGCAGCGACCACTAGTCACTTGCCCTATGTCAAAAATCTTTTGCATTTTGTGACTGAATCCCTCCAACAATGTAAGAGAAATCCGAATTAGACAGATTGAGAACAGTAAGTGGTTATTAGTCATAACAGGAACAACGGAAAATAGTGGTTTTTTCGTCAATCTATGACAGTATTATAAAATAAGCTAGTTCTCGGTGTCATTGAGATAGAGACAGTGAACAAGAGTCATTATTTGCTGTCATAATGTGTCTTCATAACATATAGTAAAGGTATATAATGGCTGTTACCTTTTGTACATCAATAATTTTAAAATCATATTATGGATTATTCTAGACCTTGCATTTTGTCCTCTTACTTTTATTTTATTATGTTGTCATGTCCAGATTTTATGGAATTGTACTTCGACAGCAATGCTTGCTGTAACCCCTTCTTCACTATCCTTGGGTCTAGGGGAATATTCAGAATTTTCGTTCAATACATGCTTAAACTACAGAATTAGATACATATTTTTATGCACAAAATAACCTTATGGGTTGTGCAAATGATGTCTTGCTTAGACTTGCTTTGGCTAGGGATACAGGTGCCACCTTTATTTTGTTGACATTAAAGTGAAAGTGGACCAAATAACTTTGTCAAGTCTGCTGTGGCACCTCCTTGATTTTGAGTTGGCAGAACTTGATCATTGATCCTTTCTTTGTTGGACCATAAATACTAGTCCCCTGTACTGAAAAAACTTTCCATCCCTTTTTTTCCCTCATATAATTTCTACTCTCACTTTATCTCTATTTGAATATGTTCTATGAATTCTGTGTTGCAGATCTATCCATACCTAAGTGTGTTTTATGCACATTCGAGTTCATTATACCTATAATGGAATAAAAAGCTAGGACGATGATGGACTAGAAGTTTTATATTGGAAAGGACAAGGACAAAATAGTTATAAACTGGTCCAGTGGAGCCAGAGCTCAGTTATTGTTTTTTGGAATTATGCTTTATTGTCAATCTCTATATGTAAAAAGGCTTGATTTTATATAGATTATGTCATGGGCAATGGACATGTTCGATCAAAGCTCAATGATGAGTACTTTCTTCTGTTTTGTCCGTTAACCGCCTTAAGACTTCAAATTTTAGCTATGTACATTTTGGCCCAGTTTTGTTTTGTCAGGCCATGATTCAGTTCACAATATATTTGTCCATATTATATTTTGCCTCGTGATGAACACCTGTCAGCTGTTATCTATTTTGAAGTTTAGAAGATGATTTTCTCGCAAGAAATCACAACTGTCATTAAGTCTAAGGAGTGCCTTGCTGTTAGAGTGCATAAGGCATCTATGGGTGTTTATTTTGACCGTCACTAATAGCGCAGCCATCTTGGGTTTGTTGGAAGGCTTATCAAGGGATGGAAGTCTACTGGGAGCCTGAAGGCCTCTGATAGTCAGGTCCTACCTTCAAATGATCTGGCCTTCCTTAATCATGTTCTTAGTGATCTCACTTCCTTGTATCCCTTCGCTTTTGTATCAACCGCATGTTATTTCAGCATCATGGTGTCTGTTGCTGACATTGCATCTACTCACATTGTCACACCCCTGTATGCTCTCTTACTGCTGATGTGGTGTTTGTCTGGTTCCTAACTGCCACTCGCATGTCATATTTTGTAATGTCTGTGGTTCCAAAATGGGACCTTTATGTACATCCAAATATTCAGGCATGCTATGACTTCATATGATGGAATAAGTTTCAGGCATATTAAATACTGTAGTTTAAACCATAGGTCTGCAAAGTGAACCAGATGAAAACAATAAAACACAGGCAAGTATATTGTAATTTACTCTGGTATCAAGTGCCAATTGTTACCATTATGTTAGTGGGTATATTTTCTAGCTATAATTCCTTGTACTTGCATTTCATATGCATAACCAAATTTCTATTTTTATTTGTTTAAAATGAAATGTCCAGATCGTGTTTAAGAAAGCATAACCTTTTGGAAGAGATTTGTGTTGCATTTTTGGATATGCACATTTACATTGTGAAGTTTCTCGTTTGGCTTTCTGATGCAACTTAGATCGACTAACTACTACTAGAATGTCCTCAAAATTTGCTGTGTTCTCAGGTTTCTGTTAAGGAAGCTAAAGATACAGTTTCTCGTTGGTACAAAGAAAGAAAAGAAGTTCTACACTGGCAAGAAGAACGCAAAAAGGAAGCAATTGAAAGCAAATGCGTCAGGACGTTGCTTGGACGATCGCGGCATTTTCCTTCGCTGGAAACAGCAAGGAATGCTCATAGGCGTCACATTGAACGAGCAGCTATTAATACTCCAGGACAGGTATTACTTCACATCGACCGTGGCTTACTGTTCACTATGAAGGACTTGTTCTGGATATCAATTATTGCTGTAGGACTAGATTTGATACCAAATATAATATAAAATAAAGAACTAGTGCTGTCACCTTTGGTCCTTTTGTTCTATTCATTACATTTCATTGGATGCCTCAACAAACTTCTTTTGGGTTTTGCATGAAATAAACTTTCGAATTTTTTTTACATTGTACCTACTATTGTGAATGTATTTGATGTTTGAGATAAGCTTTTATTTAGTTTTTCTAATATTTGAGATTTTGTCACCCTATGAATATTATGTACTTCCAGCCTTTTTGAAGTTAAACTTGATATCTTGATTTGTTTCTGTGATGGAATTTTCACGGCTGGAATGTGTTTTTATTTTGGGAAACTAGAGGTGACAAATCCCATGACATGGCCCATTTCCCGCTTTTTGGCAAACACCATCTGTGTTGTGCCTGCTGACCGGCAATACTGTTCCAGCAAGGAATTGGTGTGTCTAGGAACACCAAAAAACATCAACCATACGTACAATTTAAATGTTGAAATGGAGCTAATGGATGCCTATGTCCATTTCATTCTTTCTTTTTTTTCCTCCTGTTCTTTGTTTCTGTTGCACTTGGTTGTTTTGCAGTTGGAACTCTAAACATCATGCTATACTTCATTGTTTTTTTACTTAACATCAACTTGATGGATGGTAAGGGTCATATTGCTATTATCTGTTATTTAGACAGAAGAATGTTCCTCCTCACTTTATCGTTTTATGCTTTTCTGAGTCATTTGATGCTTATAGCTGTCATGAAACTTCTACACTTAATCCATCAAACCTATTCAAGATTTTTATTATCTTTTAAATTTAACAGGGAAGTGCAGCTGATGTCGCCATGTGTGCAATGCTCGAGATAGATAGGAATATTCGTCTGAAGGAGCTTGGATGGAAATTGCTATTGCAGGTTAATTTATCATATTGCTAACTTGAGTTTGCAGGAATTTGTTAGGACTCTAGCTAGGAGAAGTCCTAATTGAGAGGAACATTCATGTAAAACCTACCTAAGCCGACCCCTATTAAATAGGTGAAGAGGTCGGCTAGGGTTAGGAGGTTGTTTCTTAGAGAAGAATTAGGAGTTGTAAAAGAATAGGAGTTAGAAGTCCTATTAGGAGTTGGTTAGAAGTAGGAGTCTTGAGTAGGAGTTCTATTAGGAGTTAGGGTTTAGAAACCCTATAAATAACCATGTATTCCTCCTCTTTTGATAAGCAATAGATGAATCTTTTCTGCAGCCTTTGAGCAGCAACTTAGAGGGAGGAACCCCTATAGAGTTCTAAGGAGGCCGATCCCCAAAAGAGATCAACCCAAAGTTTAGAATCTGCAAGGGTTCTAACACCTGGTATCAGAGCAGCGTTCTTGGCATCTCGCTGCCCTTCCACAGCCATCCATCAACCCTCCACAACCGCCCAAAGCAATTCCCACAATTGCTTAAAAGATCGTCGTCAAATTCCGCCGTCATCTCCACCACCACGGATCATCTTTTGATCTCCCCGTGAATTGCAACAGGTTCTGGTTTTCTACCTTACTGCTGCTGCAATTTAGTTATCCTTATTTGAAAATCCAAAAAAAATTATTCCTATATTGCTGCATAAACTTTTCGTCATAAATTTTTCATCTCTACGACGAAAGATACATTGCAGAATTCCAACCGTATAACACCGTCTGTTTGATCTTGCTATTGTGTTTTTTCTATCCAAATCTTTATGAAATTTTTATGACATCTTTGATATTTCCTAACAACAGATTTCCTTTGGTTTTGTCAAAAAATTCTCAATATAAACCATTGATATTTTACGTCTAATCTGCTATACTTGAAAATCTGCACTGTAAAATTTCAGCTGCATAGCACTGTTTGTTTGATCTTGATACTACGTTGTTTCTATCCAAATCTCTACGAAATTTTTATAATAGCTTTGACACTTCATAACAGAGGATTTCCCTTTGGTTTCATAAAAAAATTCTTAATATAAACTACTGATCTTTTACGTCCAATCTGCTATACTTAAAAATCTGTGCTGCAGAAAGTTTCAGCCGCATATTGTTGCCTTAACCCATCTATTTGCAATCTTTTTTGAATGAAATTTCTTATACACTTCATAGATCATCTTGGTTTCCATCTAAGATTGATCTATAAAGGAATTCATCTCTAAAAATGATTTTGTGTTGCTGCAAATTTTCGTCGTAAACCGTTGAAATTTTTCGACGAGAATTCTGCAATCGCAACTTGCACCAATTTTCTTGCTGTCATACTGCCGAAATTTTCTTGATTAAATTAGACATCCTTGCTGTCATATAAACTGTGATTTTGCTATCAATTCACTTCCACTGATTTCTACCAAACCTTGCTACCATCTACCACAGATCCAAAACTTTCATCCACAGCCCTAAAACTCCACCAAACCACACCCTCAAACTGCACCCAAAATAGCCACAAAACAAGCCTAAATCGTAGCCTACATCCACCAATCCACCAACCCTTTCGACCATCACCTCTCTCAACCAATACATGTCTTTAACCTGACAACAAAAGAGAGATCTTAACATCACAGATTTGGCAGCATATACTATGGCATCTGAGAAGGTAATCAATGCTAAATTCGAAGCCTTCGAGGCGCGAATGGAGGATAAGATTTGGACGCTCTTTACCGAACTCAGATTGGGCCGACCACTAAGCCCGAAGAAATCACATCAAGGAGAGAGCTTTGCCCAATCGCACCAAGCCCGAAGATATGACTTCCAAGAGAGGGGAAGCTCTATGACTAACCCCAACTATCCATGCATGAGAGTGGACTTCCCTAGATGGGAAGAAGGAGACCCGATTGGTTGGATCTCGCGCGCGAAGCGATATTTTCGGTACCACAAAACCGCGGATGCATCTATGGTGAAAATTGCAGCTATACATCTTGAAGGGGATGCTATATAGTGGTTTGACTGGTTTGAACATACTTATGGAGTCCTTTCATGGCGACAATTCAAAGAAGGACTGTTGATCCGCTTCAGACCAACCAATTACGAGAATATTGACGGACAACTAGTAAAGATCCGACAAACCTTCACCATTCAGGAGTACCAAACCAGGTTTGAAAGGTTATCTAATCAAACTCGTGATTGGTCTCAAAAACAGCTATTGAGGACCTTCGTTGAGGGCTTGAAGCCAGAGATTCGAGGAGAAGTTAAAGCGCGACAACCGTACACGCTTATGGCAGCCATCTCTTTCGCACGACATCTAGAGGTGCAATTGAACCATGAAGCTCGGAGGACTAGGGTCGCTCCTCAACTAGCAATATTAAGTCCTCAGCCCCCCCTACTATCGACCGAGTCCCTACACCAAAGAGGTTAACAAGAGAAGAGCTTCGAGAGCGATATGCGAAGGGGTTATGTTGGCATTGCGACGAGCCGTGGAGCCGTGAGCATCGCTGTAGTAAAGGGAGACTTCTTATGATTGAACCAATAGAAGAAGAGGTCATTGAACATCCAGAAGAGAGCCTTGAACATGAAGAAGAAGATGCAGAAGAAGAGCCACAACCGACCGAAGTTACGGTACATGCACTAGCTGGCTACTCAAACCCGTAAACGATGAAAGTTGGAGGCCTTCTCAAACAACAACCGATCACTGTTCTCATCGACACAGGCAGTACTAATAACTTTCTAAATAGTAAGATTGTTGTCCAAATGGCCTTACCTATCGAGAATTGCAGCAGGTTTGATGTTAAGGTCGTCGACAGATGGATTTTGAAGTATGATCGTAGGCGCCCGCAAGTGAAACTATTGCTGATCATGAGGCCTTACCAAGAGATAATTACATATTTCTTCCTTCTCCCTCTTGATGATCATGAGGTCATGCTCATAATTAAATGGTTGACGACATTAGGTGATATTTCTTGGAATTTTATGCAACTAATTATGAAATTTTACAGTAAGGAGAAATAGGTGATACTGAACGGGAAACGTGAGGGCGACGTAACGACGATTTGCATACAACAAATGGAGAAGGTTTTGCATAAAGCATGCAGCAGATTTTTGGTACAACTTGAGCAGCAAACTAAGGGAGAGCCAATAGAATTTGAAGATCCAAACCTACTTCCTTTGCTTGCTGAATTTTCAGATATATTTGACGAACCGCACAACCTACCTCTTACTTGTCGGCATGATCATTATATAACGATTCTTTCAGGCAAACCTCCAGCAAATACTCGGCCATATCAATATCTACATCTCCAGAAGGATGAAATAGAAAGGATTGTAAAAGAGATGCTCGAAACAGGAGTTATTCGGCCAAGTTGCAACCTCTACTCTTCACCGGTGCTACTTGTACGCAAGGACGGAAGATAGCGAATATGCGTTGATTACCGAGCTCTTAATGACATAACCATCAAGGACAAATATCTTATTCCAATAGCAGATGAATTGCTAGATGAAAGGGAGCACAAATCTTCACAAAGCTGGACCTTTGATCCGGGTATCATCAAATATGAGTGTGCGAAGAAGACATACCGAAAATCACCTTTTGAACACACAACAACCACTACGAATTTTTGCTTTCTTCAACAGAAGGTGGAATATCTTGGGCATATCATATCAGAGGAAGGTGTGACGGTGGACCCCTTCAAAATTGAAGCAATGCAAAACTGGCCTACCCCGAGGAACATAAAATTGCTACATGGCTTTCTGGGTTTAACAGGCTACTATCGTAAGTTCATGAAAAATTATGGAAAGATCAATGCGCCACTTACTTTCTTACTGGAAAAAGATGTCTTCCAATGGTTGGACAGAGCCTCTGCTGCCTTCGACAAACTTAAGGCAGCCATGACGACGACGCCGGTGCTAACACTACCAGATTTCAACCGACCCTTCATTATTGAGGCTGACGCATCTGGAGTTAGAATTGGAGCCATTCTCATGCAAGATGGTCGACCACTCGCATACATTAGCAAGGCATTATCTCCCTCCCATCAAAATAAGTCAACATATGATAAGGAGATGCTTGCCATTGTACGCGCAGCAACGAGGTGGAGAGCCTACTTGATTGGTCGACGATTTCAAATTAAAACCGACTATAAAAGCCTCAAGTACTTTTTGGAGCGAAAGATATCATCCCCTGAGCAGCAAAAATGGGTAACAAAACTTGTTGGATTTAATTATGAAATAACTTACAAAAAGGGGAAAGAGAATGTTCTTGCAGATGCGCTTTCGCAGTTACCCGAGCAAGTTGAAGTTTCAGCCGTTTCACTTTCGACCAGTGACTTCCTTGAGGATATTAAGATGGAATGGCAGGAAGATTCAGAGACTAGTAAGATTATAAAAAAATTGGAGGAAGCACCAAGCTCTGTGACTCATTACAATTGGGACTCAAAAGAATTACACTATAATGGACGCATTGTGCTTATGATAAATTCTACTTGCATCTTCACGAGCAGATTTTGGACAAAATTATTCAATATGCAGGGTACTAAATTGAAAAGGAGTACGACATATCACCCACAAATCGACGGCCAAACAGAAGTTGTAAATAGGTGCTTGGAGACAGCCCAAAGCCACCCACCAAATATGACTATCCAAGGAGAACTCCAGACCCAGCCAAGTGCCATTATTGATCGACGGATCGTGACTCGACAACGACGACCCACTACTAAAGTGCTAATACAGTGGGTGAACCTACCAACAGAAGATGCCACTTGGGAGAACTATGACGACTTGAAGATCAAATTCTCAAAATTCATGAATCGTCAGCCTCGAGGACAAGGCTGATTTGAAGAGGGCGGGTCTGTTAGGACTCTAGCTATGAGAGTCCTAATTGAGAGGGACATTCATGTAAAACCTACCTAAGCCGATCCCTATTAAAGAGGTGAAGAGACTGGCTAGGGTTAGGAGGTTGTTTCTTAGAGAAGAATTAGGAGTTGTAAAGGAATAAGAGTTTTGAGTAGAAGTCCTATTAGGAGTTGATTAGAAGTAGGAGTTGATTAGAAGTAGGAGTCTTGAGTAGGAGTCATATTAGGAGTTAGGGTTTAGAAACTCTATAAATAGCCATGTATTCCTCCTCTTTTGATAAGCAATAGATGAATCTTTTCTGCAGCCTTTGAGCAGCAACTTGGAGGGAGGAACCCCTATAGAGTTCCAAGGAGACCGATTCCCTAAAGAGATCAACCCCAAGTTTAGAATCTGTAAGGGTTCTAACAGAATTCCACCCGCCACTTAATTGTCCTCGAATGAATATCCTAATAATTAGCCAGTCTCATCTTAACCCTAGCAGAATTTGTTGTGATTTCTTTTTCCATGACTGTTTTTGAAAAGTGATGTTATATTAATTTATCATAAGGTAGAATTATTTAAAAGAAATGAAGGTTAGCATGCTATTTAGCAAGAGGCAAGATTTTATGATCATAAAAAGATTTTCCATGCTTTTGTTGGTTTTAGTGGGTTCTCCAGAATAAAAGCCAAATTTTACTTGTAGAGGTTAATGTTGATTTTGTCTAAGCTTATTTTGGTTTTAAGCATTTAGCGGTGCATTGTTTCTCTAAATGATTGTTGAATAGTATTTTTTTTTTTGTTTATTGAATTTATTTCTTTCTTCCTAGTGTTCATTTCTGCTGTTAGTCCTACAGTTTTTCTTTCCATATTTTTGTTATTTTTTCCCTATTTTGCATCCTTGTTACTTTGTTATTGTACTTTCATAGGCTCTTAAATAATGGCAATTTAAGTCAAACATAGATTTTGATCATATGGAGGCTTGGCTTTTCATTGGTTAGTGGATGATAGACTTTTGCAAAAGATCCTCTTTTACACAAACAAATGGAACTTTGCTTTGAATTCCAAAAAGTTTGTTATGTTCATTACTTTATTCTGTTCCCTGAAAAGGAAGTAAAAGAGTCCTTTTCTGGGGACCTTGGTGTTCGATGCCGTGTTCTTGTATCTTTTTAAGGATAAGTGTGAGATCATCAGTAACATCTTATGCCTTCTTAAGAAAAAAGAAATATCTTGTAATTCAATCTTTAGGGTCAGTACTGATCCTCGATGACCTCATTTAGTTGGAGTATTTTTATTCAAAGTTTGTCATGACAAGGTTGCGCCCGTATGGTGATCATATAATGTCGTACGAGATTTAGGTCCTTTTGTCCATGTCTCAGTTCTCGCTACGTGATGCTGCGTCATGCATCTTTCTTTTCTATTGTTTTAGTTTGCAGTATTAGCATTCCGGGTTCTTGTTGCCTGACCAGATTTCCTCTAAATCAGAGAATTACTAATGGTATGCTGTGGCTGGCTTCAGGTGCATGATGAAGTAATACTGGAAGGACCAACGGAGTCAGCAGAGCTCGCCAAGGCCATCGTCGTCGAGTGCATGTCCAAGCCCTTTTACGGCACGAACTTCCTCAAGGTTGACCTGGTGGTGGATGCCAAATGCGCACAGAACTGGCATGCAGCCAAGTGTTGAGCCGGGGGGTGATTGGTAAAGGGTGGAGGGGTTTTTGTTTTTGATAAAAGATTATGAGTGTAGTAGGTAAAAACCAATTAAGAGTGATAGAAGATTATGGTACAGATAAATATGATATGATAACTTTATACTCCTTATATTTTTTTGATCCTTAATCAATTCATGATTTGAGGATTAAGTATATGATTAAGAAATATTTTTCTCTTAAAATAATGAATGATATCATCATTTTCATAACAAATTCATCGATTTATCATGATATCAAAGCTTTCTTGGTAAAAGTAAGGTTCTTTGTTTTTTTCGCTCTTTTTCTCGTTATCTTGGTGATCTATTGGTGATTATTATTTCTCTTTTGATCTCCTAGTGTGTTTTGCTCTACAACAAATTTTATTTATTTTATTAATCAAATTAGTCTCTTTTAGTGATTGACCTACTTTGATCATCGCTTTAGTGGGCATTCTCTCTGCTCCTACATTAGTGTTTATTATCTAGTGTATTCATTCTCATCTCGTTAACTATCGAACTCACTAGCACCTTTAATCCAATATCGTTCTCTTTGTAATAGTCCATTGCCTTTCAACCACTCCTTCGGCCCTTGTGATTGCGAGAAGGTCTTAGGAGAGGAAGATATCATCCTCTTTTTAGATTTGGTCTTCAATAGATTAGAACTTACTCCACAATGCTCGATAAAGCAATAGATTAGAAATTACTCTACGATGCTCGATAAAGACTCTTGACACCATAAATGATGTCTGTTATCTCTTAACCAAGTGATACCGAAGTGTATCTTCTTGATCAAGTATGTGTCATTAGCTTTTCACTAATTTTCAAACATAACCTAATAATACCATCAATTTTCAACTTAATATGATAATATATTTAAAAAATAATATCTTTAAATCACGTCAAATCATTAATCTCAATGCTACCATAAGTTTTCCACTTGAGCCTACTGAATCTACAATCATCATCCAAGTCAAAAAATTTTCAAACTATCGCAATACCATGTGTGAGAAACAATATGTCTACTGTGTCATTAGCTTTTCACTAATTTTCAAACATAACCTAATAATACCATCAATCTTCAACTTAATATGATAATATATTTAAAAAATAATATCTTTAAATCACGTCAAATCATTAATCTCAATGCTTCCATAAGTTTTCCACTTGAGCCTACTGAATCTACAATCATCATCCAAGTCAAAAAATTTTCAAACTATCGCAATACCATGTGTGAGAAACAATATGCCTACTTTATAATACCGTACGAACTCTATTACTATCTCACATCACAAAATGTTTTTGAGTATAAGTAGATTTTTCGAATTAAGTATAACTCAAATGGATCCATTACGAGATACAAATCACATCTAGTAGCCAAAGGGTTTTACCAATGACCATATGTTTGATTTCACAGAGACCTTCAGCGCAATTGTTAAACCAATGACAATTTAACTTATTTTAAATTTGACTATCACTCAAGATTGACATGTATGTCAACTTAATGTTAATGATACTTTCTTATATGAAGCCTTAACTAAATATGACTTTATACAGTAACCCTCTATATTCATCTACCCTCAATATCCAAATCATATATGTAAACTATAAAAAGTTATTTATAGACTTCTTCAACCTTTAAGAGCCCGGTATATTAAACTTAACTCGTTTTTTGATGTCAGTTGGGTTTGTCAATTCTAACACTTCTTTATTCCTACGATAATAATAGGGATATACTATATATCTACTAGCTACGTTGATGATATTATCATCATAAGTAATAATTCTACGAAGATCAAGTAATTTATTAAGTAATTAACAAATCGATTCTACATCAAAGACCTAAGAACCTTATGCTATTTTTTTGGAGTGAAAATATCGTTTACATCTTCTAGGTGTTTTCTATCTAAAAAAATATACATTCTAGATCTATCATCGATGATGGGCATGAAAAATGCTAAAAAAGTCACCATCCCACTCTTCATCATTGTGTCACTTCTAACTCAATATTCTATTCACATATGAAATGCATTAGTATCGATTTTCACTTTGTTAGAGATTAAGTTGTCAAACGTCAACTACGTGTTTCTTATATCTATACTTCTAACCAACTAGCAAACTTCCTCACAAAGCCTCTCGCTCATATGATATTTTAGTTGCATCAGTTCAAGATTGACATTCTTGATAGAAGATCAATCTTACTAAGGCATAATTATAGATCATGATAGAGGTAAATATGGAAGATCAATCTCATATATTGAATTTTTCTCCTTAGATGTAGGCAAGCATTGTTACTTATATTTACTCTCAAAATAATGATTTTGATTCATTGAATAATAGATTGAGTCTGGGTGATGATTTCAACGATAGAAGTCATGTGTACCGATAAAGTGAAGATCAAAACATCTAATGAAGTAGTGCATATTTTAGAGAATGAAGTATATGTTTCAAAGATACAAAAGAATCTAATTTCTTTAAATCTTTTATATTATCAAGGTTATATCAAGAGTTGTACGGTCTATAATAAAATACAATAAAGATCTCAAAGGGTTGAAAATCGATTATGTGTGGAGGATAGTAGGTACCTATGATAAAAAAATGAAAGATAATATTTATGAATTTTGAGATGCAAATAGTTATAAGGAAAAAAAATTATGTTTGTGGTAAGACCATGAGATAAAAATCTCTCTTCGGAATCAAGTAGCACATTGATAACTTTATTAAATTTAAGTGTTGAACTTTCGGTTTGAGTAGCTACGGTGAATTCTTCAAGTCAATGGTTTAATTTCTACAAGAGATACAGTGAAAAAATACTTACCAAGGTGGAGAACATTAAGATTGATAAGTACTTTTAGGAGTCCTAATTAAATTAAACTTCTTAAATCTCAAAGTTTCGGTAAGATGGAGAAACAAGATAATTTGGATTCTCTAAGAGTGATCTCTAGAATTCTTAGAAGAGGTTAAGAGAAAAATTATTAAGTTTATGTGAGAGGTATATAAGAGGAGTAGTAATGGGAATAACTCAAAGACTTTATAATTAATCTCATATATTAAATATTTTAATTTTTAAAAAAATATAAATAAAAGTTTTTGAAGTATGTTAAATCTTAGTATTGATTTTCTAGTATACTTTTGATTATTGATCTCTAAATATTTTTTTTTTATTTTAAAATTCTTCTTTCCCTCTTTAGCATGCTATTAGTCTCTTTGGGTGGCTGCCTACACTAAGTGAAACGGTCCAACTAGGTTCAAATTTACAGGGTGCTAATGTCAATATTTGCTAGGAGGAGTAGACATGGTTTTGGTTATTCATATGTAATTTTATGTATATCAATGTAAAAGTTTATCAAATCCTTTTTTTATATATAAATTAATATCGTAATATTTTATAAGACGAGAGTACCCTAACCAACTATATTAAGAGAAAACATCTCTTTTTTTTTGCATCACTAGATCCACTTGGTCAAATCCATTGACTTGCCATTTCCAAATGAATAGGTCAACACCCCATATATAACCTAACCATTGTAAAATATCTATCTTTTTATGATGATGCATCCATCCAAGACTATATACACCCTAACCAAATACTTTCTTTATGCTTAACTTATTTACCTAATACATAAACATCCAACTGTTTGGTGTACTCCTTACACCTAATCATAAAACATCCACACATGACAAAAGCATTCAAAGTATATTCATATGTTTGATGCTCCCATCAATCAATATTGAAAGTGTCCAAATTATTTTAACCATACAAAATATCTCTTTGTGTCTGATACATTTGCTTAGGACAAATGCATCAAAAATGTTGATGCTTTCTAAATAGGCAAGTATATATATACAAAGTATATTCACATCCAATGTATCCATTCGGAGAATAACACGCCTATACCTTCTAACTATTTTTAATACAAATAATAATTGTTAAGTATCTAACAAATATTGTGCTCCAACAAAAACTAAACATTTAGAAGTGGAATTGGGGACAACTCTGATAGTTATATGCATCTAATCGTGATTCGAACACAGAGTCTAATCAATATTCTGAAGGAAATATTCTCCCATTTATATCTTTCGTCGTCTTCCAGATGGATGCATATACGATGTCTCTAATTATGAACTCTCAAGCTAATCTTCTCTTCTTCCCATCCTCTGCATTTGCCGGCTTGTGCAGATGAGACAATAAAATGACATTGGAAGGTTCAAATCCGCGTCTCCACATGCTCACATTGCTGTTTATTCCATTGATTCGAGATAAGTTGACCGTGTTGCAGCTTCTTTCCGCCCGTTCCAGGTTGGCGTGCTTGCACAGTGTTCTTCGCTAATACTGTTGACTCTTCCCTCATTGTGTTCCTTTTCTTTATTCGATACATATCTATCTAATTCTAGCGTTACAAACGATGTAAATTACAATTAGCAGTTCCATATGCGACTCCTCGGCAGTTTGCATGCGATGTGCGGATATCTAACGACGTGTTCGATTACCATGTGGTCATCTGTGAGCAAGAGTGGGTCCCATGGCCCCGAATTAACCAATCTGGTCTCGGATAGGAAATGCGGGGCGAAGAACGAACCCATGTGGTCATTTCAAGTGTCCAAACTTGCGATCCCCTGCACTGTCTCCGGAACGCGCCGGGGTAAAGAGTATATACTATTGGTTCTTTTGCGACGGGACCCGGTTGTGTCCATTTGGGGCCCGCTTTTTTGAACCAATGGAAGACGTAGTTCTCTCGTCGGCAGGCTCCGTGGAGGAGACGCTTGATCGGCGTCCCGTAGGATCTGTGGAGGACGTAACCATTCTATTTCTTTTTCGGTGCGGGTCCCACAGCATTCACTTCGTCACACGTCTTGCCAAGTGCAACGGCTTCCAAACGACTAACCCCTCGAATAATATTCTTCTTCCGATAACCCACGACGAGCCAAAAAGTAAAGAAGGAACAAAGAAGAATCCGATCAAGTTTCAAAGGCGTCTCCGTACTCGTCTCGTCTCTCTCGATCTATCCTTTCTGTACCCTTTTCTTTCATCTGCGTGGGGA